TCTACCAGCCCCGCGCGTGCCCACCTCCCATCTTCATGGCGGTCGTCACCCTCACCCAGGTACGGGGCTGGCACCAGGGCTGAGCCTGGCTGAAGTGTCCCAGTACCCAGGGGGTGTCAGACCTGGGGTGGGGGGACCAGGTTACCCTGGTTGTGATGTCCCAGTGGCCATGGAGGGCTCAGACTGATGGCAGAGGGGATGAGTGACCCCAGTTGTGATGTCCTAGTGCCTATATGGGGGTCTTTGACCCAGGGTGGAGGGGATGGGTGATACCAGTTGTGATGTGCCAGTGGCCATGGAGAGCTCAGACCCAGGGTAGAGGGGACAGGTGACCCTGGTTGTGATGTCCTGGTGGCCATGGAGGGCTCAGACCAAGGGCAGAAGGGACAGGTGACCCTGGTTGTGATGTCCTAGCACCTATAGAGGGGTCTTTGACCCAGGGTGGAGGGGATGGGTGACACCAGTTGTGACATGCCAGTGGCCATGGGGGTCATGGCCTCAGACCCAGGCAGAGGGGATGGGTGACGCTGGCTGCAATGTCCCGATGCCCATGGGGGTGCTCAGACCTGGGGCAGAGGGGACGGGTGACACTTGTTGTGATGTGCCAGTGCTCGTATAGGGTCTCGGACCCCAGCTGTGATGTCCTCGTGCCCGTACGGGGGACTCAGACCCAGGCTTGTGGGGATGGGTGCTCCCAGCTGACATCCTGGTGGCCATGGGGGGTTCAGACCTGGCGCAGAGGGGCCGGGTGACCCTGCCCCAAGGCAAAGGAACAGGAGCAGGGGGGTCTCAGCAGTGCCAGGGCTGACCACCTTGGGGTTTGACACAGATCATTGTGTTCCTCTGCTACGGGGCCCGGCTGAACAAGTGGGTGCTGCAGACCTACCACCCCGAGTACATGAAGAGCCCCTTGGTCTACCACCCCGGGCACCGGGCACGCGCCTGGCGCTTCCTCACCTACATGTTCATGCACGGGGGGTAGGTTCCTGCCGGGGGGAGGTGGAACGGGGACATGGGGGGGGCTGCGTGAGCTGAGCCACGGCGTGTCCCACTCCTGTGCCCGGGCAGGCTGGAGCAGCTGGGGTTCAACGCCCTCCTGC